ACTTTGTCCCAATGCTGAGACACTGGGTATTTAAATGAGTTATTTTTTTGTGAAGAATTTCAAATGAAAAAAAATACAAAAATGTAATCATTCAGTGTGATGTTGGCTGTCAGTTTGATGTATATTGCCTTTATTAGGTTTAGGTACATTCATGTTATCCCTTATTTCTCCAAATCCCTTATCATGAAGGGGTGTTGAATTTTTTGAAGGCATTTTCAGCATCTACTGAGATGATCATGTGGTTTTTCTTTTTCATTTTATTTATATGGTAGATTACATTGATGGATTTTCGTATGGTGAACCATCCCTGCAACTCTGGTATGAAGCCTGTTTGATCATGTTGAATGATTTTTATGATGTGTTCTTGGATTCTATTTGCCAGTATTGTATTGAGTATTTTCATGAGGGATTTTTGCCTGTAGTTCTCTTTCTTAGTTGTGTCTTTGTGTGGTACCAAGATAATTGTAACCTCATAAAAATGTTTGGCAATGATCCTTCTGCTTATATTGAGAAGTATTGGTATTAGCTGTTCTTTAAATTTTCTGGTAGGATTCTTCATAGACACTATCTGACCCTGGGCTTTTTTTTTTTTTTTTTTTTTTTTTTTTTGGTTGGGAGGCTTTTGCTAACTGCTTCTATTTCATTAGGGGTTATAGGTCTATTTAAACTGCCTATCTGTTCTTGACTTAATCTTGAGAAAATTGTCTATTTCCTTTAAATTTTAGAATCTTGTGGCATACAGATTTCCAAAGTATGACCTGATGATTCTCTGGATCTCTTTAGTGTCTGTTTTATGCCCCACTTTTCATTTCCAAGTTTGTTAAATTGCATATTCTCTCTCTAACTTTTAGTTAGGTTGGATAAAGGCTTGTCTATCTTATTGATTTTCTCAAAGAACCAACTCTTTGTTTCATTGATTCTTTGTATTGTTATCTTTGTTTCTTCTTTATTGATTTTAACCCTCAATATGATTGTTTCCCGCCATTGACTCCTCCTGGGTAAGTTTACTTCTATTTGTTCTAGAGCTTTCAGGTGTTTTGTTAATTCTACAGTGTAGCTAAATGGAGAGAAACTCAATAGGATTCCTCTAAAATCAGAAACACGACAAGATTGTCCACTCTCTCCATATCTATTCAAGATTGTACTTGATGTTCTTGCTAGAGCAATATGACAACAAAAGAAGATCAAGGGATGCAAATTGGAAAGGAAGAAGTAAAACTTTCACTATTTGCAGATGATATGATAGTTTACATAAGTGACCCGAAGAATTCTATCAGGGAACTCCTACAGCTGATAAACACCTTCAGCAAAGTGGCAGAATACAAGATTAACTAAAAAAAGTCACTAGCCCTATTATATACAGATGATAAAGGGGCTGAGAAAGAAATCAGAGAAACATCACCCTTTACAATAGCCACACATAACATAAAATATCTTGAGGTAACTCTAACCAAACAGGTGAAAGACCTGTATGACAAGAACTTTGAGTCATTAAAAAAAGATATTAAAGAAGATAACAGAAAGATTTCTCATGCTCTTGGATACATAGGATCAATATAATAAAAATGGCAATCTTGCATTGAATCTACAAATTCAATGCAATGCCCATCAATATCCCAGCACAATCTTCACAGGCTTTGAAAGGACAATACTCAACTTTATATAGGAAAACAAAAAACCCAGGTTAGCCAAAACAGCCTTGTATAATAAAGGCACTTCTGGAGGCATCACCATCTCTCATTTCAAGCTCTTCTGAAGAGCTATAGTAATGAAATCAGCTTGGCATTGGCACAAAAATAGACAGTATGAAAAATGGAATTGAGTTGAAGACCCTGATATTACCATGCATACCTATGAACACCTGATTTTTGACAAAGGTAAAACTATACAATGTAAAATAGAAAGTATCTTCAACAAAAGGTGCTGGCATAGAAGATTGAAGATAGATCCATATCTATCAACATGCACAAAACTTAAGTCCAAATGGATCAAAGACCCCCAACATAAACCCAGCCACACTGAGCCTCTCACAAGAGAAAGTTGAAAGTACCCTTGAACAAATTGGCATAGAAGATCTTTTCCTGAACATAATGCCAGTAGCACAGACACTGAGATCGACAATTGATTAATGTGACTTCCTGAAACTGAGACGCTTCTTTTAAGGCAAAGGACAAAGTCAACAAGACAAAACAGCAGCCCACAGAGTGGGAGAAGATCCTCACCAACCCACAGAGGGCTGATTTCCAAAATATACAAAGAACTCAAGAAGCTACTCATGAAAGCACCAAATAATTAAATTAAAAAGTGGGTACAGAATTAATTACACAGAATTCTCAATAGAGCAATATAAAATGGCTGAACGACATTTAAGAAAGTGTTTAACATCCTTAGCCATCAGGGAAATGCAAATGAAAACAACTCTGAGAAATCGTCTTGGACCAGCATAAACACCAATGACAGTTAATGCTGGAAAGGATGTGGAGAAAGAGGAACACTCATCCCTTGCTGGTGGGAATGCAAACTTGTACAGCCACTTTGGAAATCAGTATGGCAGATACTCCATAAAATAGGAGCCAGTCTATGTAGAGAGCCACCGGTGCCATTCCCAAAGATGGCACCGGTTTCCTGTCCATAAGCCAGGAAGGCGTGGATGTGCGATCCACGTCATGGGGTGACCGTTACGAGCCTTGCGGGCTGCACCTGTCAGTAATGGACACGACTCCTCTGAGCATATATAAGTAGAGCCCTTTTTCCTTCTTGGGGTTTTCCCTCAACTTGCTGTAATGAGCATTGCAATAAACATAACTGCAGAAGAATCCTGTTGTTGAACGTCGTTCTTGCAGGCAAGGCGATAGCGCTCAACAAGTCTACCTCAAGATCCAGCAATTGCACTCTTAGGCATATATCCAAAGGATGCACATTCATACAAGGACATCTGCTCATCTATGTTCATAGCAGCATTATTTGCAATAGCCAGAAGCTGAAAGCAACCTATATACCCCTCAACTGAAGAATGGATACAGAAAATATGGGTACATTTACACAATGTTGTATTACTCAGCAGAAAAAAATCAGTATGATCTTGATATTTGCAGGCAAATGGATGGAACTAGAAGAAACCATCCTAAGTGAGGCAACCTAGTCACAGAAAGACTAACATGATATGTACTCATGCATATACAGATATTAGTCATAGAGCAAAGGTTTACTAGAATGCAATCCATACCTCCAAAGAAGCAAGGTACAAGAAGGACCATAAGAAAGAAATACATGATCCCCCATTAAAGGAAAAGGGACAAGAATCCTTGAACAAACTGGCAGCTTTTGGAGAGGGATGAGGAAGGAAGGAAAAAGAGAAGGGGAGAAGAGAAGGGGAAGAGAACATATGGGATCAGGAAGATTGAATGGGGAGATGAATAGAGGAGAGCAAGAAAGGGAAAACATCAATAAAGAGAGCCATTATAAGTGTAAAGAGAAATCTGGCACTAAGGAATTATACAGAGATCTACAAGGATGCCCCAAATAAGAATCTAAGCAATAGTGGAGAGGCTACCTCTCCTACAATGAGAATGATGACTACATCAAATGCTATTCTAGAGCTTTCATCCAGTAGCTGAGTGAAGCAGAAGCAGAGATCCACAGCTAAGCACTCAGCCAAACTCTTGGAATCCAGTTTCAGAGAGGGATGAGTGATGAGCAGGGGGGTCAGCTGACCTGAGCAATTTCTTAAGTTCTTTGGAATATAGTTATCTCTTTTTTAAAGAAGAGTTAAGTAAGGAAGCATCATCAACCTTAATGACTTTGTCCTGCTTACTCAGAATGACTGTAAAGGCAGCCATGTGCCATTGGAGAACCAGTTTTTATGAGTGACAGCAGAGAGGCTTATTTTTTGTCTGTACTGTTGAGTAGTATTTTCCCCACCAGTCTGGTCCCACAGCAGCGCCAGTCCCAAATAACACACAGAGATGCTGTATTAGATATAAAGCTGTTGGCCTGTTTCTAATGTTTCTTATTGGCTGGCTCTGCCTTAATGATCAACCCATTTCTATTAATCTAAGTACTTCCACGTGGTCTTATCTTACCAGAGAGAGGGGCTGGCGTTCTACCCTGTAGTCCTCCATCTTGAATCTCCTCCCTACTACTTCCAGAATCCTCCTTGTCTCTTAGTTCCGCCTATCTTCCTTTCCTATTGGCCAACAGTGCTTTATTCATTAACCAATAAGAGAAACATTTACAGAATGACATCTCTCATCACTGTATGTTTAGAAAAATTATCAGCCTGTATTCCCAGTAAACTTAGATAAAATCACAGCAGGCAAAACAAGACTACAAATGATGGTAAGACTAAGCATAGTAAAATTTAGGGAGGCCTAAAGCCCATGAGCTCTCTAGCACCAGCACAGGTGCCTACAGTATTTCTTCCACAGACCCTTGACAGGGGGATAAGATTCTCCAAAGGACCTTACCCAAAGAAGCTTCATTTACAAAATATTTATGCTCCAATTCCAGGGGGACACCAAGACTTTCACCAGAGAGTAGAAAGAAAAGTTGTGGGAAAATAGTAAATATACATGATACACACCTTTAAAAAATAACCTTACATCACTCACAATTATTCTTTACTGTGTTTCCTTCTGGAAAAGATATCTATTGACTATATTACTTGGTCCCACATTGTCCATAACCGACATTAAATTATTTAGGTCCAAGTTATTCAATTTGCTACAAAAAAGAGAATATATGATATGTAAAAACAGTCCTATTTTCTGACAAAAGAGCAACCCATTTGATTGATCATATCTGCTATGATATTATAGGTAGTTCATTCAAAAACATAAAATCCCAAATCAAAGTACAGTTTACCTAAAATGACCACTGGCAATGATATTAGTTGTATATTTGTTTTATATAAAAAGAGAAATTTAATATAGAAACTAAGAGAAAGGGAACATACAATCATTATAGCTATAAGAACACTATGGCATTTTGGGTTTCCTTACTCAGGAAAAGCAAAATCTTTTAAATTTGTAGTCATGGCTCATAAGGAAGGGCCCTAAAGAAGGAAAACATGTTGAAATGATTGCAGTAATGTTCACCAGCAACAAATGAGGGCTTTGTATGAGAGCAATGCAACCTTGTAAGATGGAAGAGAGGGAATGAAAACCTATAAACACTGACACAAAGGCCAGTATGCGGTGGGTGGCTCTGTACTCAGTAGATGTTCTGAAGGAAACACTGGAGCTGCGGATATGTTGAACACGTTGGTTGTGTCTATACAAAATTACAACCATGGAGCAGCTAGACCAAATAATGATGACAGAAAGCAAAATTTCAGGTAGAACAAAAAACACTGTATATAATGAACTTCCAAGGGCATCATGACCTGCAGTGGAGCAGTATTTCTTATCACTCTCATGTGCCAGACTATTGCTGTTCCCCTTGGTATACATATACACAGGAAAAGTTATATTTCCTGACAAGTATAAAATCCAGCAGAAGGAGGTAACCAGGACAATATACTTTGGAGCTTTGACTTTAAGGGCCAACCAGAAAGAGTTCCCAGGGCTGATTGTGATAGCTTGAAAAACACTCAAGATGCAGGTGGTGCAAATGGACATGCTCCTGCCAAGTCTTTGAATATACAATAGAAATTCACAGCCAAAATAATTGATGAACCCTTTGATCCCAAAAGTTCTCATTGTATGGAGAAATCCTTTAGATAGAATGATCAAGATGTTGGCTATGAACATGTGTGTAAGAATCAAATCCGTGGTCTTTAATGTCTGTTTATTGTAGTAACGGATGAGGTAGCAGGAAAGAAGAGAGAAATTTCCTACTATTCCAACTATGCTCTGAAGTAGGAATACTATTCCTATTGTCAGATTCTTGAGATCCATTCTGTCATTTAAAACTTTTTTTCTTAAATAGTTGCAAAAATCACTTTTCTAAGCAAAAATTCTTCAAATCATGAAGCCAAATTGTTGCTGTGAGAGAAATCACATTCTCAATACTGGAAAAAATATTTTGAGAAACAAAAACGACTGCAACTCGCAAATTATTTCATCTACAATACTTGTAAAGAATATTTTCCAATAAAGCTGTTGAAGTCTTCAAAGGTTCATATTTATTGAAAGTACTTGCATAACTTTGCTTTGAACTATCCATTTTAAGACCAAGTCCAAGTTGCTCTTATAGAAACAGTGAGCAGTGAGTACAAATGGAAAGGATGCTGCATTCTAGATTTTAAAATGAACTTCTAATTCCAACTCATGTTGAAGATAAAGCAATTGTAAGTACCCACTTCAGCATGACAGAAACCCATGCATTTCTCACCCAAAATTTAAACATAAAAATGAACATGTATCTCCACAAAATAAGGATATTTCTGTTCTTCCATAGAATGTTTATTATACTGTGGAAACACAATAACCATAAAGGTTAAGTGTAGAATAGAAATTATGCAAAGAAGTGTGTATCAAATTTTAAAGAAACAGACACAGACATAAGCAAGCATACTTTTTCGCATAAACAGTTGGAGAGTACAGTTTCCTTCACCTGTTTGAATTGGAACTCATGGATTATAGACAGAGAGCTGGGAATCCTGCATGGGTTTGAACCAGACCCTCTGCATGGAGGTGCTATATTTGTAGCCTGGTCTGTTTGTGGGACATCTGGCAGGTTGTCCAGAATCTATCCCTGATGCATGAGCTGGCTCTTTGACGCCAATTCCATATGTTGGGAGGTTTTGGTCAGCTTTGATATGGAGGATGAGAGACTCAGTCCTACCTCAACTTGGTGTTGCAGGCCTTGTTGAGGAGTGGCTGGGAGTGGGTTTGGTAGAGGTTGGGGAAATAGGAGAAGAGCAAGGTGTGTAACTGTGGTTAGTATGTAAAATAAATGGAAAAAGAATTGGGGAGTAGAGAGACACAGGATTATTGTGTCAAAAATTCTTAATATGCACAAATTAGTTAAAGAAATTGAATCACTTTAACAGAAGTCAGGAAGAAAATAATCACACTTAGTAAGGAACTAACAGATGAGGAATATATAATTTTATTATGAAATCCAATGTCTGTTGTCATTGTGAGGTCACAGACATGAACAAAACACCAGATGCCCACATGTTTGGGTGGATGTATTACTGGGCTCAGACAACAAAACCATAATTTCAGACAGAGGAAAATAATTTATCCCTTGTTCTCAACAAAGGGCTTGAATATTAGTTCTAATGTAAACTCTCTGGCAAATGGAAGAAAATGACTACCTATTTTGTCCATGTTCTTTTGATGTTAAACTAACCAGCGTAATTTATGAACAGGCCATGCATCTTTTCCTGTATTACAAAATTTATTCTATCACACAGATATTTAATGTTACAACCCTATTAAATATTTGAAAGATATATATAAGTCAAGCAAGGAATGATGAGAAAGACTGCTTCCATATTGGACTCAAAAAACATTTAGTAATAAAGACAAACTGGCTTCCATTCCTGGTTATGGCTAAACATCTCTTTCTCAAGGATTGGGCTTTGACCCATCTATAACCTAATTACAAATGGATTGTACTGTTTCTATAATGCCTGTTCTGGGAAAGACCACCCATCCCCTTGTTTGAAAAAGTTTTAACCATCTTGCAACGCTACCTATATTCCATTTTTTTTCATGACTACTTGTTGTTATGAGTATACTATGATAAGCTTGGAATAATGTCTTTGTTTCATGAGATCATTATTACTAACTTGTAATTTTTATGTTCTCTTCTAGTAAGGCCAACTATTTTGCCTGCCAGGCCTCCCATTTGAAATCCTGCTACTATTGAGCTATAAAACTTACTCATTTCCAAGGGTGACAACTTGAACACCACCTTAGGAGAAGATATTCTGAGTACACAAATAAAAGATCTTGCTTTACTTAATTGCTAGTTCTAATTAATTGGGCCATCATGATTTAGGTCAGTTATCTTACTCTTTCCATCTTTGAAATAAACAATACAACATTCACCTCACACTAAGAAAATGGGGATCACATTATAGGAAACATTTTGAAATCTCTGAGGTGTTGTATAACAGAAGGTATATAAAACTACATGTCTATCATCCCATTCTTGGGACTTTTGCCATCAAAGTCACAATTATCATATAAATTTCAGCTTTGAAATTTAGACCTTCGTACATGTGCTCTAATAGTACACAACATCAGTTGATACTCAGGTGATGCTGGTCTCTGAAGCAGTGTTAATGAACAGTGAAGAAATGTACAACAATTATAAAGAAAATTAACTTTAAAGATAATTATTTTATAGGAAAATCAAAAAGTTCAAGTCTGATCATCTCTGTTATAGGTTAATATAGATATAATTGCCTATCCCCATAAAACAACATGCAAAATCAACATAATAGGACACTATTTTGTGACGTGGTACAGGCTTGTGTCACAGCAAATTAGGAATGTTATATTTGTATTTCTTTTTAAAATGACTTTGCAAAGAAAATGACTTTGCAAAGGCTCCCATTTTGTAATGTGAGTTGAACTATAACTTTCTTCAATCCTCTTGCCACTGACTCTGGATTCCTGGCATTAACTCTTAGATATTACATTGATTCTTTGATACTACACTGGAGAACTAATACTAAATGGGATAGTGTATCCAAAAGGGAGATTAGGGAGATGTTTCAGTAGAAGAAGTCTTTTCCTTGGATGTGTAAAGGCCTGAGTTAAGCCTTCACAGGTCAATAAAAATTTAGGTGTAGCCCAACCAGTGGAATGGAAAACAATAAAGATACATGGGGTACCTGACCACACAGCCAAAAACATTTAGAGTGTTCCAGGCAGTTAAAGACATTGTTTACAAATATTACAATAATATTTTCAAAATAAAGTGTGGGTCAGAAAGAAAAAAACTGAAGTAATTCTTTCACCATATACACATATGGACACTTTCACAAACACACATAGACATATCTTGAACCCAATATTCCTGCCCACATCAGCACATTTATACATACACTGAGAAGAAATTAAATTATCACTAATTCATATATGCATATTTATATTGAATATTGCATTGATTAAGGCAAAGCTACAGTAATAAATCAAGATTCTGGATAAATATTAAACTGCAAGATACAGAATCTGACATCTAAAATTGCATTGCATATGTCTCCCATTTCTGAGTCAACTCTCCAGATATAATCACTTCCCAACATTTACCTTCTTAGCTGGATTTTCTTCTCAGACTAAATACAATGTGCTCACCTGACTGATTCACTGTGCAGAAATTTCTGGTCAATGCACACTTTGTAACTTCCTGAATTTTCTGAAATTCAACTACTTGGAAAGGGAGGCATTTCAACTATTAGATAAAGGTTTACAGGTGTGACCACATCTCCCTGCTGAACTGCAGTTTTCATTTCACCTACAGAGACATTGGCAGCTCTTGCTTTGGGAGTCAACAACTTTTCACAAACTGCATTTGATAGGTAATTACCAAAGCTGATTATGAAACTGAGCTAGTGTCTCCAAAGGGACAGTGTTTGGAGAGGCTCTTAAAATCCTCATGATCTCTGATGGACAATAGTTAGAGGACCCATAAAATATGAAGGTCTCATGTGTGGGAATATGGCAAAGAAATTTGTGTGTCTTACTCCACTCCAGGTTTCTCTGTATTCTTCTCTAGAGGTTGATTGTTAATTACCAAATTCCAGAGCTGCCCAGTGTACGAACACTTGGCCAAACATAGTCAAAATCCAGGGATGTCTACTCAAGTGTGTGTATTAAAGAAAACATGATGTTTTAATCTGAAATAAAAATTACAATATGTATAAACCTGCTTACAAATGAAATACAACTATGATAAAAAATCTTAGAAAATTTGTAACTATCACCATAGCAATGGCACAAACTCTGAACATAAACCAATTATCAAAGAATTTACATGCAACTAACTATCCTTCATGAGTTAAAAGCAACTTTAAATAGTACATACACCTGGGCTACACTTCTAATACAAAAGCACTTTGTGCAACTAGAAAAATACATCATTAATTTTGATGAGAAAAAATTGAATTTTATTATTTCACAATTAGTAAAGAAGTAGAAAAGTTGAAGGCTTAATATTTGCCTTTTGGCCAGGGACAATATTTCTTGGAGTGTTTAAGGACAACAAAGACATGATAAATGTTCAGTCTCCAGCAGACCTCTTCTCTTCTTATTCATCTGTAAGCCTTCAGTCACCAGAACTTAAGAGTTTAAGTAATTAACTTCAATAAGTTATAGACATATACAAGTGTTCTGTGCAGGGCAAGTTTTGTTAGATGGAAAATGAACGTGTTGATTTGAATGAGAAATGTCTGTCATTGCCTCAGGACTTTAAACACTAGTTGCTCATTTGTTTTGCTCTTTGGGGAGAATTGCATGGGGCAGCCTTCCTGGGCAAATTATTATACTTAGGAGGATTTGATATTAACAGCCATGTGCATTTTCAGTTGGCTGTCTATGCTTCCTGCTGTTACTGAGGTAGTGAATACTCAGCTTCCTGCTCCCAATGCCATGGCTGTTGCTTTCTGCTCCTAGCCAATCATGATGAACATTCTATCTAGATTCTGTAAGCTGTCTATAGTTAGAGAATTTCATTACTGTTGTTGTTGACTGCAGTTTCTGCTGACAAAACATGAACCACCAAACTCAACAAAACCCATGTGGAGTTTATAGGGAAAGGGAGGGAGAGGAGTTGTTGGTGTGGCTGGGCCTGGAGTGGAAATGGAAAAAAAGAGAGAACAGGCTGGAGGTGTGATGGGAGATAACATTGTGTATATATGTTTCTCATACTGGTTAATGAGTAAAGCACTGTTGGCCAATAGGAAAGGAATATAGGAGGGACTAGGAGACTAGGACTA